CTCCACCTCCAGCACCATGACAATGCCCCCTGTGGCCGGGGCACAGAGCATTAAAAAGGACTTGGAGGAGGCTCTTGAGAAAGACCCCAGAGGAGCAACACCTTTTTTGGACAAACATTAATGATGACAAACATGGAACAGGGTTACGGTGCGTGACACCGTAACACTTGCCCCCCAACCCCCCCTCCTGACCACTGTTGCTCCTCGCTGCCGTTCGCAGGAAGAGTTCGATGGAAAGACGTTCAGTTTAAAGGCGAAGATTTCATGTGAAGATAAAAGAGTTCTTCTGTCACATAAACAGAAAACTTTCAGGGTTTTTGTGGTTTCAGTAATATCTATCGTGGACTTGTTTGATAAATATGAATTAATAAACATGTTTGTATATCATCTGGATTATTTTAAGGTATTTTTGATGAGCAGATCCACACAAAAAAAACTGAAAAAAATATGTTAAACAGAACAAAACAAGATTGAATCTCAGACGTGAATCTGTAAAAAAAACCAACATGGCTGCACAAACAAACAACTCTGAAAAATTATGATTTTATACCTGGAAGTCGATCTGTTTATATTCACTTTCATTTTCCATTTCAATCAAAAGAAATTTGGCCCAATAAGTTTTTTGTGTTTATTATATCTATAAAACCCTTTGATAACAATGTTTTACTTCATTTACAAATTAATTTTTTCATTATTTTAATGCCGTTGTTTAGGAGAGATTTGAAATGAAAAACTTTCTTTTTTTTACTTTTTTTTCCTGCTGCCGTTCATTCTTCTCTGTTCCAGTTGCTGTGGCCCAAAGGCCCAACCCAAACACTCATCTCATTGGCTGAGACACGTGATGACATCACTGTGTAACCAGACAGTAACAAGCTTTTAATTAGTAATAATACTGCACTAATGAAAACATACATCAATGTTAAAAACACTGCAGAGAGTTACTGTTTATAAATAAATATTGATCTGTTGTTTTATGATTGAATTAGAAAAAAAAACCTCGCCTTCAAAAAAAAAACAGTATTAAATGTTGACATTTCTCTGTTTTAGCTTTTTAAACATCTATAAAAGTTGTTGGCCAATAGAACGTTGACATTTCTCTGTTTTAGCTTTTTAATGGCCAATAGAACAAGAGGAGTGATGATGATGATGATGATGATGATGATGATGATGATGATGATGATGATGATGATGATGATGATGATGGATTAAATGATGGTTCTTCAGCCAATAAGAGTGCGGCTGTTTTTATTCAGTTTCATAGGTGTGTGCTGCATTATGTTTGTAATGTTATTTTGAGCAAAACGAGAGATATTTTTTATTCATAACGACGGAAACTGCAACGTTGTCAGATCAACCAAAACAAGTGATGTTGAAATCACTTCAGTTTTTCTTTTCTTTAAGTCTTCCCTCGTTGGTAAAACAAGTGATGTTGAAATCACTTCAGATTTTTTTTTAAGTCTTCCCTGGTTGGTGTGTCTCTCTCCTTCGTGACTTTTTCACTCTCAGCTGCCGGGCGTCACCGCTCACTTTATCAGCTGAGGCAACTGTAGCAGCACATTTGCTAAACAGACACATTCACTCAGACTTTTGTTGCTTTTATTAAACAGATTTCATCCCCCACTGCCGGGTCCACACTCCGCTGCTGGGAGATTTTCCCATCCGTTGCCGAGGGAGGCCTTCTCCATTGTGCAGCGTCTAATGATGATTGTAATGATGGCTTGTCCATCTTTGATAAGAAACAGCACGCCCCTCATTAAAGGCCCAGGGCCCACAGTTCTCATGGCTGCCCCGTCCGTCCCTCGGAGCGGGACAGCAGGCGAGGGGAGGCGAGACGACACCCGTGGCACACGCCTGTTGACCGAGCCACAAAGCAAAAGCGTGTGACACTCGCCCCACCCCCGGTGCTCCCATTGTCCTCCCCGTGAGTCCCACAGACAAGACCAATCCTGTTACCCCATCACCCACCTACAACCCCCACAACTGTGACACACACACACTCCTACCGCCGCCCAACACACACACACAGGCCTTTCCCTCTCTCTCTCTCCATCACGATTAATATTACCAATCAGCTGATCTCGCTCGCCCTCTTTCTCACACATCTACCAGGGCCAGGCCACGTCCCCTCTCTCCTCCCACCCTCACCCGCGCCTCCTCTTTTTATCATCAGCTGCTGTGTAATGTTGAAATCCATCATAGTGTGTAAAGATGAGGCGGGGGGGCGGGGGGGGGGGTCCCCCCCACACTA